CTATCCCTCCAAGCTATTATAGTTGCCGCGACGATCAGAATAAGGCGATCCTACGTTATCCTTAGAGGGATCATTTGGCTCGAACACCTCGTGAGTGTCATCCGAATCGGACATGTCGTAAGAGTCGCTCTGCGCCTCGCCCAATCCTATCGGCTCGCCCAAGTTCCCGAACATGCTCGTTTGTGCCCTGAAATGCGGCGCCGAGAACTGCGATAGCGCAGCTGTATCAACGCCATCAGAAGACGAGGGGTTTGGGCTGCTTGTAATTTGCCCCAGGTTGAGCACGAAGCGGCTGACAAGGATCGAAGGCTAGAGAATATTGAGTGCGTATGCATCCTTGTCCAGGCTTACGGCGCACCATGACAGCTATGAGAAGATTCACAGGGGCGAACATCTTTCATTTGGATATATTAGTCGGATTGGATGGCCAGCAAAGGCGACTCACGAGATTATACGTCAGAATTTGTGCAAGGTTGATGCAAAGAAGTAACCTAGCACACTCAGCGTCACTAGCCGGACGGAGAATTTCTCCGAGTCACTCACAAGAAGTAGATTGTACCTAGTACCGCTGGTCAGCCGTGGAGACGCGAAGGAAGATTATCGAGACATACCGTCGCGTAACAGCGACCCTGCTATTGATTTCGGGATCCTTAACCTGCGCGATTCTCGCCACTGTGAGAAAGTCTTGGCCCAGGTCAGGATGAGCACCAGGAAATCCATCGCTATCAGCGAGATGCGCGTTGACAAATGTACTGAAGTACCACTGAGGAGTAGTTGATGTATAGGAGAGATAAGCACGTACATCTACGGATGCTATCAGCTGGGTCAGGTGCCCCAGAGACTGAATTGAACGTACACAGTCACAGCATTATCTGAGTAGTATATGTTCTGCCAACATCCACCAAATTCCTCTGTGTAGCCGTATTGGGAACGAGCAGCGGTATACTGTAAGGTAATGAGCTCGCATATCGATAATACCTCAAGTTGGTCAACCCACGATGTTTGTCCATACGGGTATTGATCCCAGAGCTAAGACCAGGGCGAACAGAAACCAGTTGCGCCCCCGTATCGCTGAAACCCGCAACGCCGAGAACACTGATTTGACGTGGACGATTGAGGTGGTTGAGCTTGACGCTAGTGTGACGTGCTTACATGCTGTACCCCCATACCCAATCCATATGACAACATTCTCGAGCCTATCTGCTATCTTGCACCTAGCATGCGTTAGATTAGCACATAAAGCTGATATGCTGCTTAAAGCTTTACCCCTAAGAGACCATGAGTAAGAGGAACACGACACTCTAACAGATAACACGCACTAAGTCTGTTGAAGGAACTATGTTGGCGATTATGGCGTTTACGACCATGGCCCATCGTATGATGACCAAAAATGCCGATGTCAGGGTAATTTTTTTCCTCCATACAATTGCTACTTCCTGGTCAAAAGTAATGAGGTATTCGTAGACCACCAAGGCTGAGCGTGGTAGGGTGTCGGCGAACTTTTTTGCACATGAGCAACTTCGATGCATACCCAGGATGCCATAGCTGATCTCTGAAGAGACAATGCTGTATGAACGAAGACAGATGAGTATCGGTGCTACTCTGTGTTCGAAGAGGTTACACGCACCTCTCGTAAACTTCTTCGACATAATTGGGATCCGCGTCCATGTCTGGGGCGACTTGGAGTGTAAACCACGCGCAAGCGTGGGGGAAGATCGGAATAGCTTATGAAGGCCTCACTCAATCATCAACGGCGGCCTATATGTATGCGACGCCGCCTCATCTAGCTTATTTAGGGCAAGCTAATGCACCGCTCGGCGTGCATGCAGGTTTGGAGGACCCTTATTATGGCATCAGTGGATCCAGGGGTCAAGTTTACACCTGATCCCCGCAGGGGATCTTCAAATGAATATGATGCGGAGGCGCTGCACAATATTCGCTTGGCATCTATGCCTGAGGAACGAAGCAGGCTGGCTGCAGGGATGGTAAGATATGATTCGGGCGGAGTCTGGGAGCTGAACACACACCAAGCCTTCTGGACTTGAAATATTCGAGAACTGGCAAGAATACTGCCCTTCTGGCTGCATCTCAGAGTGGAAACCGCTAGTACGGGAGGCAGGCACTTGAAGTGGAATACGCATGATACCAATCCTCACGTCCAGCTGAAGATGGGTGACCTCAAACTCCTGAATCAGGTGTTAACTAAGTCGGTATCGCAGAAATAAGCTGAAGCAAGAGTACGCGTCTTGAGCATATAGCAGTCTGTGGAAGGAAAAGCAAGAGTGAGCTGTTCTTTCGTTCGAAGGCGTCCCTTGATGCTCCCTTTGATGCGCCCATTTCCAAATGTGGAAAGATGATCAGCCAGCCTCGCTCGGCGAGGCTCGACGTTTAATCGTCATGGCAATATTCACTACTCAAGGCATAGCGGAGGCGGAGGCGCACACGGCCGTCACGTATGAATCGCTTGCTGAGATAATGCATTGGTTCTCCGCTTGCATTATGCCAGAGCTGCGCGTTCTCAGGCCCG